TTGAATGTGGTAATTTGGACAAAGATGGATTACTTTCTAGTGAAGCAGGCTGGGAAGGTTGCTTGATGAAGCCATAGGTGGGCAACCTGTATCTCAACAACATGGATTTCACTTCCTCATGTAGTCTGTTCTTCCATGTTGCTGATTTGTGGGAGATCTTGCTCCATGGACTTCTGTAATTTGTGTGAATGAATAGAGAGGAACATGCGACCTTCAGATAATTAGAAAAAACAGCTGTAAATAAGTTTCCAACTTGGAATTACTAAGTTTGCTGTATGTTTTAAAGTAATACCAACATTTGGGGTATGTAAAAGAGTATCAGAACTCACATGAAATGCAACATGAGGGGAGATGAAACTAGGTGATCTTAAGGTCCTTTCCAACCCAAACCATTCTATGATTCTATGAAGCCATTATGAATGCATTGTGCTGCATGGCTTTTTAGGAAGATTTCATGCTGCCTTGTTTTATTGTATTTACTTCTTCCCATTGCAAAACTCATGGAATTGCATGAAACACAAGTGTTGATGTAGCTCCACCATAATGGCTGTACCTGAACTGAATTTGACCTAAAAATGCTTAATCATATTTTTAAAAATTACTGGTATCTTCTTGTGTCAAATTCTTGGTACAACTCTCTGCCCATCTTAACTCTCTGAGTTACTCTCCTCAGCAGCATACAATTTTGGCAATTATTTAGTGGGGTTCCTTTGTGTAATTTCATGCCTGACTGACATGCCCTGCAGTTATCTTTATATTCCTTTGATGATGGAGGCTGTACAGATCGCAGCCCTGTGGCAAAATCCTAGTTCCCATTGAGTATTACCCTTTGCTTCTCTAGGTCCAAAGTTTCACCCGAAGTGTGTTGAACCTGTAAAGTACTACAAGGGACTAAGAACTAAGATAAATTTAATTGCCTTGGGTGTTAAGCTCAGTTGTGGTTTATTTTAAGAGTGCAGGGGAAGTGCTTCTCAAAGAGTGATTTGAAGGGATGGAATAAGAATGAGTGCACCCTTGGGGATGGCTGAGGACAGCCTTCTTGCAAAGCTCACATCCAGTTCCAGATTTAAAAGGTTGTTATCTAATGAGCACAAGCAATTAGCTAGCTAATGAACACAACAAAATGAGCACGAAAAATGTGTTTCATCTTCAATGCCCACTAGAAAGACATGGTTTTGAGCTTGAGGCTGCCCTTGCTTTAAGACCTGGGTCACCGCAGTGAGATTAATCCAGGGCATAAATCACAGGGTTAGATTAGTGTTTGTTTTACTTGAATTCACATTTCTTGTTCTCTTATCTCCGCTAAATCTTGCAGCTTCTTGGCTCAATCATGAACCAGAGAACAGAATGGGTTTGAACAGTCACAACTTTCCCTGCTGAGCACTGGCAGTCAGCCCTGAGCCTTGATTTACCACTGGAACAGAATTATAAAACAACACAATGCAATTAATGCATCTTCCCTCTCTGTTCATGCCAGACAGGAATTCTTCCTCCACCTTCTTCAGTTGGAGTGATTTTTGTAATATAATCTAATCTAATGCAACTCTATTTTGCTTTAGTCAGGAGTCTACCAGGTGGCAATGACATAAACAGCTGACTATATAGCCCAGTGAGGAATGATTCTGTGTGTCTAATACTGTTTCTGTGCAAGTTCAGATTGCCTGTGGGCCTCTTTTTGTTTGGTTTTGTGGTTGTGTTTTCCCACCTTTACAGCTGACAGTGACAGCCAGAAAAACAAGGCAAATGTAGAAAAAATGCCTAAATTTTTCCAGCAACTAAGCAAAAGCTGCATGAGCTCAGGACATTCCTTCACTACCAAGTAAACTCACAGCCTTCCTTGTGTCATTCCAGCTGCAAATACTTCAGAAATGACATGTGACAACTGCCAGAGCTCTAAGACTGTCTAGAAGTATTATTTTTTGAGAATAAGACCAGAAAGCCAAGATCTTGGTTTGTAAGGGCCCCTGTAACACCAGATGCACTGGACCTGCAGAAGAAGCCTGGGTCATTTTGTCATGCATGTGCTGTAGAGTTGCTGTGTTGCACAGTATTTAAGAAGATGCTGGTATATAGCACATAGTGATGAAAGCAGTGCAGAGGAAGATCTCTGTGTATGTAAGGATAGGTAAAAAATGTATGTGCAAGTTTTTAAGTTGTTAAAGGTGGTGTAACATCTTTTTTATTTCTAAACAAGAAAATGGCACAATGAATCATTGCTAATTTTCTTTGCGTTTTTTTTTTTCTGGTGTATTTCATCAATGAGCATTGAACAATTTTTATTTTTCATTTATTTTATTTTATTCTTTGTGGATCTATTTCATTATGTCTAAGACTTTGCTTAACAGTCTGCAGGATATCTCAGATCTTAATGATTTCCCCTTTCGGGGGAGACACATTAGTATTATGGGAATAAAAAGGAAATACTAATTTCTTTCTGCTGTGAAGTGACTTCTTTATGTCACATGTCATGGCTGTTATCAAATTAAGTTGAAACCGTAGCTAAACACTAAAACCAATTGGCAGCATATTCAGTCTCAAGAATGCTTCCCTTTTTCTATGGTCTAACAGTGACATAGAGGACTTTTGCTCCTTAATTTAAGTACAAACTTCTCCCTAGGGCTCTGTGTTGCTTTGCATAATGCAGGAAGTAAACTCAGGAGGTTTTACTTATGTGAATGCATGAAGTAAGCAAGAGCTGCCAAAAGTTAGAGGAGAAATAGCAAGATGAAATAGCAATATGTGGAGGCTGTCCATGATTATTATTCTCTGAGGCTGGAAAATAATTGCCTTTGCTCCTGGTGCTGAGCCTAAGGACAGATGAACAAGTGCTGTTTCAGGGATCGAAGCTGAGGTTTTCAAAGAGGTTTCTTGTTGGCCTAATCAGTCTCTGCTGAAACCCAGGGTGGTTTTCCCACTGATTTTAATAGCACCTATTACACAATGCTGAAGGCTTTTGAAAATCGCTATCTGCTATGAGCAGATTTCTTGACCAGAAACCCGAGCCTGCTGCCTTTGAGGGCAGAAAGCTTCCTTTTTGGGAAAGAAAACATTTGGGGTGCTGTTTCTTTCCCTTTGCTCCATATTCTTAGCACTGCTTGTGTGTAAACACAACCATGGCTTTCCAGTACCTGCAAATCCTTTCAGGTCTGCAGTGATTTGGAGAGGATTTCTCTCCATATGTGGAGCACTCAAGACTTGTTCCAGTTGTCCTTTGCCTTTTGAGATCAAAAGGGGTATCTGCGTAGAGGCCTCACATTCCTTTTCAACTCATTGGATTTTGCATTAAATTAAATTTCACATGCTGAGTGAGCAGTCAACCCTTATGAGCCTAAAGGAAAGAATATGTTGTTCCTATGCATTTTAACGTGACGGTCAAGTTGCGGCTAACACTCCCATGCACCTCCTTCAGTGTTCACCTTTCAGCCTTTCCACCCTGAGCCCTGTATTTTGAAATGAGATGCCTGCATTTTATTACCTTTGTAAGTGGAAAAGGACAGCATATGTTCTCTACTTGCTAAAAAAGGCCTGAATTGTCTTGGTTTGAACTTTATTTTAAAGGTCAGACTTGAGGCAGGCACAAAAGGTGAAAGCTTTGGGAAGTTATGAGCAACCACAAATGAGGCAGTTTCAAATCGCACTTGAAACTGGAACAGCTGTTGTTCCTGTTGTTTGGGGAGTGACATTTCGAGTTATAATGCTAAAGATTACATGCATTATATTCAGGGAGAACTAAAGAAGAGAGTAGTCACTGAGGCAGAGCAAAAATTAGTCTGGTGGTGTGTGGCGGAGAAGGAACAGCCTTTATGTTTATGGCACAGGGATAAGATTGTGGGAAAGCCCAAATATCGAAGTGGGTGTAGGAAAGGAGAGACCAGGGGAGTCTAGGGGAATTTCTGAGAAAGGATTTTCCAGTGCCTCCTTGGATGTGAAAATTAATTGTTTTGGGACTGGAATTCGCAGCTCTGCATTGCAGGGATTTAACGAGGCTGGTGGATTACCTCACTCTGTGGTCTCAAAGTGCTCTGACAGGTTCATGTGTGTCAGGCAAACATTATTGTAATTTTAGGGCTTTAGGGGCTCTACAGGAGTATGTAAATACCACCTAAGCCATCCAGCTGAATTTAAAACTTAATTACTGCCCCACTTAATAATATTTTCTCCCCCCACTACTGCTTTGGAGGATCATAGGGTTAAAAGAAATCATTAATCTTCCTTAATGAAGCTATTTTCTAGCATGAGACAGAATGCCTTGCCCCTGTGGATTCCGCGATGGGGTTTTTATGAGTATTGTGAATGGAGAAGTGGGGACCGAACACTAGAGGAAAAGCAGTCCAGAAAAGGTGATAGGACCCAAAATGGTGGTGGTGGGAGAACCCTCCAACTCAGAGGCCCCTGCTGAGTTTAGCTAAAAGGAGCATGATAGTCATGGGGGAAGAGGAGTGAGCCCTATTAAAAACTGAGTTGGCTGTATAACAGTGTTCTCACCAAAACTGCTTATTATTGGAATACCAGCAATTGCCAAAGCTTTTATGCAACTGAGGCAAGACCTCTCTTGAAAGCTGTGCTTGAAATTGTGCATCTCCAGAGAAATCTAAAGCAGAATTGTGGTGGTGGAATTCAGTTCTCTGCTTTTAACTGTCAGTGCTGATCCATGTCCTTAAAGCTGCTTTTCCTGGGACAGTGCTGGCTTGTACTACAATTAAATTGCATGCAAATGTTTCAAGATCCCTGAGACCCTCCCAGTGCAAATCCCTCCTTTTGTTTGCATGAAAGGGAAAGAAATCCTGCTACTTTAAACGGTTCAAAGTTTAGTCCTTTGCTAGTCCACAGCTCCTGTAGTACCTACTGCACTGAGCACCATTACCTGCCTTGTGCTGGGGCCGGTTGGGAGGCAAGGATGACCATGCTGTTTTCCTGCTTTTCTCTGTTTGATGATCCCTTTGGTGGAGATACTGAAATGCTGTTGTTTCTCTGTTTCTTGTGTGCATCCCTGGCTGCAGAAGATGCTCGATGAGTGTCAGGACAGGCGGAGCTGCCAGTTTCTCGTCAATAGCCGGCTGTTTGGTGCAGACCCATGCCCTGGAACTGGCAAGTACCTTATCGTGTGGTACAAGTGCAGGCCAAGTGAGTATCTTGCTATCAAATCTGTTTGCTCTGGTGGGACCAAAACATTTTTGTACTTTTGCCAGAGAGGCCTCCTAGGACTTTTTGTTCCCTTCCTCCTTTATTTTAGGTGCAACATCCCCTGGGTGTGAGTGTTTCCCCTTTCCCCCTTGCTTGCAGCCTTGCTGGGATGCTGCTGCTCCAGCTCCTTCCTCCTTGCCAGCAGCCCAAGTTGCAGATTGTTTTTGCAGGTGCCAGCAAAAGCCTTTGCCAGCACCGAGCTCAGACTATTGGCGGTGGGTGGGCTGCCCTCGCTCCCATCTGCAGCCGCTCTCCTGTCCTAGTGGGCTAGTGGGAGCTGCTCGCTTTCCACCTGCCCCTCCAGGGGGAGAGGGAGCTCTTTGCATGGGCAAAGACTTCAGACCTCGGTGCCTAAGGCGGGCACTGAAGATGATGATGCAACGGGAAGCTCACCTGCCCATGCCATGCCATGCCATGCCATAATCCAGCTTTTAATTGCTCCCAGATCAGGCTGGGAAACATTAACCTGTGTTTTGTGTGATCTCATTATCTGTGTTTAAATTAAATGGGACTGGTGCCTGGATACTGGAAATGTAATCATGGAGAGGACTGAGCCTGGTGTGGCTTTGACCCTGGACACCCAACACCCTCTTGGCCAATTCCTGGCCCCACAGGGGAGTTAGCACAGCCTGGGCACCATTCTCCACCAGTGTTTTGGAAGCAGACACATTAGTTTTGATAATGGACAAGCTGTGCCGACTGATTTCAGATACAGAGCAGGACCCAACTCTGAATGAAGTAGTCTGAACACAGCATTTCAGATTGGCCTAATCCCAAGCCTTGTAGACATCATAAGTAACAAGGTTCCAGCACCACATCAGCAAAGTTTTTGGGAAGAAGTAAAAAAAAGTTTGCACAGGGAAGAAAAACATATCTGATTTCAGAAAAGGCTTGAAACAAAAGCAGAAACATTCAGACTGTCAACAGCACAGAAGACTTTTTGCCCCAGCACGCAGAGGCCTGCGCTAATGAAGTGAAGGGATCTGGCAAGATCTGTGAGGAATTCAAATGAAAAGTAGGTAATGAAGCACCTGCATTTGTTGTGGGGTTTTCGTGAGTGATTGTAACATCCCCTGTTGGGTGAGAAATACATCTCTCAGAGAGGGGTGATTAGCAGGGTGTTCTGACAAGTCCTCCTGAACCTGCAGGTTTTGTATCAAAGCTTGCTTGAAAAATCTGGCTATTGAGGCCTCTGCTGAACTTTTGAAGGTACAGAGATCCTATCTGTGCATAAATATTTATGGCTTGGCATTCTTTGTTAATTACAGATATGCTAGAAAAGGAGTTAGTGTGTCTGCTGGGTAGGTGATTTTCCTGCAAGAGAGCAGATGAAGCTCTTTGAAAACATTTCCCCAAGACAGTTTTCCAGGCAGCCCCAATTTTGGAGGGTGAAACAGGGTAACCGGACACAAATTACTGTTTCTTAGTCCCAGGGCAAACTTTTAATCAGAACCCACTGGATTAATAACAAGCTTTGAAATATACAAGGATTAGCTTTGCACAGAGTTACCAGGACATGCTCAACCTTTCCTTGATTTAAAATGTGAATTTTAAGTCTCACAAACAGAATCTAGTACTTGTATGGGTTCGGTAAGCCTTTCAATCTTTGTTTTAATGAAGGGACTGAAGAAAGATGGATCCATAGAATGCATGGATATACAGGACCATGAGAACTTTTTGTGGGCTTTTGTGGTTATTGAGTATTTGAGTACTGTTTATGACCTGTAAACGACTGTAAATTTAAGAGCTCATCCCAAACCTTGTGGTCCTATGAAGTGGTGACCTGCTCCAGGAAGTCTGAGCATGCATAATTGTAACTGAAGAGCACCAGAGAGTCCTTTCAAGAGCTCACTGCCTGATACATGGTTTGATCCATATCTTAATGAAAATACAAATACAGGTTTTTGGGTTCTGTTCTGGAATTTGTCCTTCTTAACACTAGTCATAAGTACTATAAGAAGCTATTTAAGATCTGAATTATTCTCTACAGGCATCTGTTTATTTCCTTTGCTTATTGAGGAAGCCTGAGGGGCCCATGTTACTGAATTAGATACCTTGGTTAGGTACCTACCTAGGTAGAATGAATATGAGTTTTCCTGTATACAGGTATGGTAGGCATTTTGGGAATTGGCCTCCAGAGTTTGGACAGGACATCTTTAACATAAAATGAAGATTCCCAAGCCCTCCCACTCCACTCTGAGTTGTGCTGGAACCTCAGAAGTCCCCTGAATAGAGGTAGATATGTAAAAAGAAAGATTTACTTGAAAGAAAACAAAACTAAAGTTAGTGGCATTAACTTGTACCTTTGCTGAAGAATAACTAGATGGTGCAGTCATCCCCTCCAGCCACTGTCACTGCAGTTATGCCTCTCTAACATTACGTTGCGTTTGAAATCTAGTGGTTCCGATGCTTGCTGCCTGTATTGGGTTCACTCAAAAGGCAAGGTGCTATTTTGGTTTCCTATGGGCAGACTTTTAAGGAGATGGAGGACAGCAAATCATGCTGAAACTGAATCTCTAGATTTTTCAAATGGTGGGTCTCCAGGGAGCAGAGCAATTGGAGGGATCTTTACTGCACTAATTGCGCTGAGAGTGCTTTTGCTGGAAGCAGGGAATACTCGTGCAGAGGTGTGCTTGGTTCACCTCATCTAGAAATTCAGGGACATGGAGGAGTACATGCTTAACTAGAAGCAGTGAGAAATTTGATAGCTTGTGTGCTTTTTTTGGCAAGTCTTGTGCTAACCATGGTCCCCTCTGATCCGATGGATGGATCTGGGGTCTAATGGACACTCATCTTGCATGTACAGGGCTCAGATATGTCTATGGGACTGCTTTCAAGTGTCAGGTATTTGGCAGTCCTGAGTATTCTCTGTGTCTGTAAAAAACTAAATACATTATGTGTGTGTGTGCTTTAAATTTTATGGTATAGTATGTTTAAAGAGATCAGAAATAATCAATAAAATGCTCTATTCTGTCTCAGTTTGGGGCAAGTGAGATTTATTGCTGCTATGTGATTTGACGGCTAAGGCTCATCAAAGTGTATAGAGGCTTAGATTTTATTTTGTTTTCCCATAGCATGTGGGCCTTATTTTCTAATATGTACCAACCTTTGGGAAGATATTCAAAAGCACAGTACATGTCTCAGTAGAGCACAACTATGACATGTGATTCTAAACTTGGAGGTGCCCCTGCCAGTCATCCTGCTATCAATAGCCTTAATAGAGAGCTCCCAGAATGTCACAGTGTGAGTCAAGGTTGGAATGTGTTGCTGTAGTGGTGAAACCTGAAGTTCTCTGGTAGTGTAGATGTAGTCTGGCATTTAGAACTGGTCTAAGTGGTTGCCAGTGGGAAGTCTGGATACAGCTACCTGGTTTAGAGGCTAAAACAGTTAATGAGAATGGCTGTGCGCTGTCCCATGCCAGTTGGTGCCAGCACCAGAGAATTAGCATATTTAACTTATGTTGGCCAGTGTAGCTGGAGATCCGCACCCAAAGCACACTGAAGCCTAGGACCAAGCCCTGAACACCCAGAGGACTTCAATCTCGAGGGTACCTTTCAGGATCATTAAAAAATTGCACACAAATCCAATTATTTCTCAGGTAACATGCTGATTTGATTTAGACCCATTAAGTAAAATTACTGGGTAGGCTGCAGGAACACATAATTAGAGGAAATTGACATAGTATTTAAATGGCCTAACATGAATTTAACTGAAATCTGGATTCACCAATATTTTTCAAACAATTTGGTGTTTGTTCCTCCCCCTCTCTTCAGAGACAGAGAACCATGTATGATTGCATGTTACTGTAAGCTAGGAAATATTTTCTTTGTGTGCCAGACTTTCCGGAGGGGCTGTATAGTCTAATCCTAGCTGGGGCTGCCCAAATCATGTTGAAGAAATAAATTAACCTCTTTGCAGCCCAGCAATATGATTGCAGCTGATTTTACTGAGGCTGGTCACTGCTCCAGGCTATTGAAAAAGCAGTGATTGATCTGCCTCTGCACAACAGCTGTTTGCCCATGGTGGCTTTTTGGTCGTTTTGGTTATTTTTTTGGCTTTACTATTTCAAAAGTGCCAATGCTCCTGAACATTGAGACATAAATGCTTTTGAACATTGAGACATAAATGCTTTTCTTTCTTTGCAAAGGAATTACTTAGGATGAGGTGTGTTGTCTGAGTGGCCATTTGCTGGCACTTGCTTTTGTAGTTTTCCCCCAAGAGTCCCCCACATAATGACTTTCTCTTGTCTCCTCCTCTGCCATTGCCACTCTGTCCTGGATGCACTGTCCCCTTCTCAGCTGTGAACGGCCTAAGCTGCAGCCTCCTGTAACGCTACAGTGATACTTTTCCCTCTTTCTTACTGGGCAGTTGCTACTTTAGCTCATGATTTGAAGGACTCTGGGAGAGATAATCTCCATCCAGTGTTTTTTATTAATGATTATTAATTTTATTTCATTTTAAAATGCTGTGTGGAGCAGCTGGATATGATAATTGGAGGCTGGTGGGTAAGAAGCCTTCCTGTATTAATCATCCAAGCGATGTAGCAAAGTGTAAATCCAAACTCTGCTGCTCTCCCTTCTATTCACAAATGTAAGCCTAAAGCCTTTGAAGTTCCAGAAAGCCTGGATTGTGACCTGGGCTCCAGTTGCAGCTCAAATTCCCCTGTAACAATACAAAAACATTTTTGTGAAAGGCACATCAAGGCTCTGTGAAATGCATCTGGGAAGGAAACTTGCGTTTGTTGGCAAAGGGTGAAGTGCCAAAAGTTTGTGTGTGAGTAGCAGGAGGAAAGGGGGTGGGGGAGGTCACTTTGTTCTAGTTCAGAACCTACAGCTTTGATTTATGGGAAAACTTTTGTGCTAAGAATTGACCTGGGCACATGTTCTGAAGAGAGCAAGCAGTCATTCTCTTTGCCATAGATTTAATTCTAATCTAAGAGG